ATACTCGCCAATAATTTAATCATCGCATGCGAGACCAACAACAAAGCATAGTTACAAAATAACTAGTGAGATTTATGCACGCAATACATGACCTCTGGAAATTATATGTATAAAAAGATAATATGCTTACATGAAAGAAAACAAATATTGCGGCTTGTATTTATCAGTTTCGTAAGTCACGTAGCAACAAACTGTATCGACTCTGTTGATACGGTCTATTTTTTTTTTTTTACTACAATTAAATTTTAAAGCTCGCTTTTAAAGCTTTTAAAAAAAATTATGTAAACACAAGCGATTAAATTAGATGACTATCTGATTTGTCACCTGATTACTAAGTCATCATGATAGCTTATCAGACGGGGCACATGGCGGAGCAAAAATCGAAGACCAATTTAAACGCGAAGGTACTATCTAAACTAGCAGGGGTAGGTACCACAACGCTTTCATTCGGGTAGAATTAATCTTGTACAAATTAATCACTGCGTACCATTTGATTAGTGGACTGGAATTATCGAAGTTGGCAAGCAAGCGAGATATAAAAACATTTAGACTTTAAGATAAATAAAACTAGAAAATATGATTTTGCTGAAAGATTTAAAATTTTGCGGAATACAGGTCTGAAAATAGTTTTGTTGGACCTTCGAGATAATTTTATTAGAAATTTAAATCGATTGCTAAAATTTTTTTTTATACTGCTTATCAATTTTTAGTCTTCCACGTAATTATTTTATTAAAATTACTTTCAGATCTGTGTACATCCAGCAAAATTTATTTAAATATTCCAGCAAAATCGTTCTTCCCGTGTGCAAATATACATATGTATGATAACGATATGCTTATATTGTTATCGACGATGATACTCACACATCCCGTAAAAGCACGTTATGAGGATTATCATGAAAGTTGCGTAAAACTCGGAAGTGATTCGTGCGCGTTCGACATCGATCGTCCGAGAATAAAAAGAATGGAGGTTGCATGGCAACAATGATTTTGCTGATGTGTTAAAAAATTTAGCTAGATGCAGATCTCTGAAAATAATTTTGTTGAACTATTAGAATAATTATGTAGGACGTTCAAACTGGTTACTATAGAATATTAAAACTTTTTGCAGCATTGCTCATCATACTTAAGTTTTTTTTTTTCTAATTAATTATTTAATTTTTATATAAATAATTAAAAAAAAAAGTATTAAGAAAAAGAGTAAAGAATAAAGAAAATTATATAATTATTTTGATGATTCAACAATATTATTTTCAGATCTGTATCTATCTACATTTTTAGATGTTTCAGTTAATTCGTTCTCTTTCCATGTTCCTGTTCAATTTCAAATATGTCATAATATGCTTACAATTTAAAAAAATATGTTGTAGACAAGTACAAATCTGAAAATATACTGTTAGCCTAAATTCTCTTTGGTGTAAAATCTTACTCTATCAAACTCCAAAGATTGAAAATTGAGCCTGTCTTGAAAAAGAGTGGCTCAATTTTCAAGAGTGAGATTTCACTCAAAGCGAGATTCACTTCAAAATTTTTAGACAATACGTATACATAAGTTGAAAAACTAAGAGTCTTACATTTTTCAAGGAGGTGTGAAATTACGTAGAGAGGAGCAATTTTAATAACACTGTTTTTCACGTTATGTTGACCAGCTTTTCTTAACATGTCAAATTCGAATCATCATACATAGCACATACCGTCTAAAATTCCTCCTTTACACAATTATCACATGATAGGATCAATTAATCCACAAAAGATTTCCACGTATATCATTCGATTTCACATTCGAATTGCCACTACTTACTTCCTACTAGTGAAATCACGAGAAACTGACTGCTTGGCATGGAGATCAGTACCGTTAAAAGGGAGAACTCGACGTTTCTAAAAAAACCAAGAAGACGAACCGCAGAAGACTCAGTGATGTTATCTCGGAGCGAGATCGGCATGCGATTAATCAGGTAAGGCGGACGATGGAATGAGAGAAAAGGAGCGAATAAAACAAACGCGTAAACAGGGAAGAGGAATTATGTGCTCGTCACTGTTAAATCCCGAAGACTGCCGACCAACCAGAAACGCTGAACACGATCGCGCGACTCTCGTCTACCGTCTCTATCCGTCGTCAACGTATCTCTCTGACATCATCCTTCTTGCTCCCGCACGGGCAAGCAGGTCGACCGGTCGCGGCCAGCCTCTATCGCTCCTTCACCAGCGCGTTATTGTAGCTCTATTTCTGCCGATGAGCTGCTGAGAAAGGTCTCGGTGACTTTTCAAATGTGTGCCGGCCGGCCGGCATGTGTAGGAGGAAGAAAGCCGAGGACAATCGGAGAGCAATCAGACATCGGATGGCGAGCGAGCGCGTTGACAAAAGGTCCGTTCGCGTTGCTTGCACTTTTTGCACTCAACATCTTCACTTTTCTTTCTTTTCAACGCCTGAATATTTATCTCATTTTAAGTGCACAAATTTTAGGGGGGGGGGGAGGGGTTTCAAAGCAACGCGAATAAACCTAATTATTAATTTTATCCTTTATTTCCAATTCCAACCTAACGAAATATGAATCTTCTATCGCTTCATAGGTTATAGTTATAGGTGACATTCTACACATAGTTTACATCGTTTACGCGTAATGTGTGCTATTTATATTTTACGCGTAAACGCACAACCTGTACTGCTGTATTTTAACCAACCTGAATTACCCCGGAAAAAGATTTATACCGGAATTAATGCCACACGCGAGAATTTTTATCGCTCATTTCAATCCAAGAGCGAAGGGATATTTCTGGTATTCAGTATCGCTTAGATTTAAATGTATGTATACACGTAAGGCAGTCATGTATGTCTATTACATTCCGCTGTCAGTTTGAAAAATTAAAGGAGATTAACTCGGGAGTAATTACTTCATTTTTTATTACGTAAATGATTACCTTGAATGTTTTTTACATCCCAATTAAAATAATTAATATTAATGTATTGTATATTATTGATTGATTTTCGATTCAATTTATTTAAGAATATTATGAATAAAATAAATATGACGAATTTGCTCAACATTTTTAGAGAAATAGTAAGTAAAAAATCAAATAAATGTTACATGGAACGAGTACGTTAAATTGCTTATTATAACAGTATTTCCAAAAGATAAAGATTTTAATTCATACAACGCTTTTTTATTGCGGGTTTTCGAAGAAATTGCTTTTTTAAAGATTCGTAAGAAATAGTTTTTAGAAGAGAAGTAGATGTGTTCAAAAAGAAAAACTTCTTATTTATATTTTCTCACCTGGGATGTAAAAAACACTTTAGATAATAACCGGGTTAAAGGAAAAGTTTCCCGTGGTCGAAACAGACGAAACGATGTATAAAGAGGCCAATTATGGACGACCATTAATGCTGATTAACCAATATTGTAACGGTGCGAAAAACAAAATATGTAACGATAGCATGACGAAAGAGCGTGACACATTTCGTAAAGCAGTAGTTTTATCATCGCTTGAGCGCGTTTATCTAGTTTTAAAGGCATTTACGTGCGACAATTACAGATATGTGTATATCGGAATACATATACATAAACCATTTTGTACAAATATTTGAGGTAACATGCGCAAGAGAGACTCTTGCGGAGAGAATGCGATTAACTTTAACAACGCGATATTTACCACGATGGAAATGTTTTTATCAGCGACTCAAAGTGCTTAATACACCTCGCATGGAAAGTTTCAAAGAACCGGAAAGTTATCGAGTCGATCTATGATGCGCGTTTCCAAGCTCTTATAAAGAAAAGGATCTCTCGATTGCAGAAACTAAAAAGATCTTATAACAGAATCTGCCCACGAGCGATTGTCTTAAAATCCTATGTGAGAGAAAGGTACACATACATATGTATATATGTGTGTACGCACGCACGCACGCACGCACGCACACATATATATCATATGTATATACAATATACATGATGAAAAAAATATCCGGAATTAATTGGAGTTCCGGTCAAAAATGGACAAAACAAAATTTTTTTGGCTAAAAAAGATTTTCTTAGATATTCTCTCTCTCTCTCATTATTATAATCAGAATCTTCTAATTGATCCATTTTCAATCAGGCATTTTTCTCAGTGTACTTTCTCCAAGTAAATATTATTTTATTTTAACTTATACTATCTAACTTTTTAATCTTAATTAAAATTATAGAATGAGACAGAAGAATAAATTAAAATAGGATACAGTAGAAACCTTGTTTTTAGAAAATAAACATTATTATGTATATAATTAACAATTTTATTATATGTATAATTCGCAATTTATTAAAAAAAATAATCAACTGAATAATAAACTGTATATACCACAAAATTATCTTACCTAACAACTTGTGTAACAATTAAAATATATTATCGTAAAAAAAAGGACAAAAATGAAAAGCTGTATTAATTTAATGCACAAAAAGTATTCGTAAGTGCGAAGGCGTGCAAAGCTCTTTTATTTGTATTAAGACAGAATGTAGTTGTATAAAATATTGCTGATTAATATTTTTTTTATTTTCAACAAGTACAGCTTTTTTTTTTAATAAAAATTTCCGTTGTATCGACTTTTCTTGCATTCACTGTATCTATAAGGAGGAAATATGTATGTATATAAATACATACATACAAATAATTATACCTCTCTCTGTCTCTCTCGTATAATTTTGACAAACTCGCTCGTGACTCTGTTATAGGATCTCCAACAGGAACTTTCCACTTGTTGCGAGCCGGCGCCGGCTTGATTGTCCGCGTCGTCGAGAAACGTCGATGCTCGCTCTCCTCCGATTTCCGGAGTTCGGGGATAGTCTCTCCTGAGAGAGCGAGAAAAGCGTTCGAACGGTCGCCGGACACTCGCACGTCCGCCAGGTGACAACGGGCGTCGGGTCGATACGTGCGACGCCCGACCTCCGCCGCACCGAGCGGAAAATTTCCCTCGAAAAAGACGAGCGAGGGGACAAAGAACAAAAAAAAAGGAAAAAAAAGAAATGACTCACGTCATTCGGTCCAATTTGACCCATGCTGCCCATGCTGCAGGCACCACGATCCGCGATCGTATCCGCCGACTGCGGGTCGTTCTCGTTGGCAATGGGAATCTTGAAGGCCTTTTGATAAACACACTGACCAATAAAAAAAATACTCGCAGGCACACCCCGGCTGACGATTGTTCCTGATACTCCGCCGCTACTCTCCTCTCTCTCTCTTTTTCTCCCTCGATCTATTTATTTATCCTTGATAGATCACGCGAACACGACGACGACGAGATTCGCCGACGCGTGCGAGATTCCGACGCAGTTTAGCGAACAATTATCAGTGTTATCACCGGCGATTTGGCAGACCGGCTTCGACACGACACGTCCGTCGATTGGCACTACAAGTAACGAGGAGTAACGTAGCGTAGCTACAACCAGTCATAATATATCACAAAGGGGAAGCTGGGCTCCTCTCGGAAACTCGGGACGACGGAGGCGGTGGAGACGCGAAAGACGCGGGAGAGGCGTCAATGCGTGTAAACCGGCACAACGGCGAGAAAGGTCTCGGAAAACGCGAGAGAATCGGGTTACGCTGAGTATTATAGGCACACAGCCGGTCGAACGATGAAGCGAGAAACGTTCCACCCCAAGCGAGAGCCGGTTGCTAACTGACGCCGCCGAGCGATGCCAAGCGAGTCGAACCAGACCGCGATCATCTGGCCGGCTTGCCGGGTGGGGGGGGGGGGGGTGGTAAGGATGGTTAGATCGCGACTACACGGACACGGGGTCGGGTGATACGGTAGCGGGTAGGGGAACGCACGCCGGCTTTACGCCGCTGTCATTGGTCGAGACAGGGCTGTAACGCTTGTTGAGAGTCATGTCGATCTATCGACGTCGTATTTCGAGAGCATGTGCGGGACACGATCAGATTTTTCGGCAACTCCGAGTCGACTCCGGAGTTCTAAAAAACTGTCCCCTCGCGTTTCTTCCGCCACGTCCTCTGCTGCTTTCTCCTTAATTAATATACACCAGGACGCTCTGTTAAAAAATGTTGGTTGAAATGAGTTTAGTCGCTTTCCTAGCTCTCTCTCTCTCTCTCTCTCTTGTTATATCGTTCTCTTTCTTTAAAAGAAGAAAAAGGAAAGGAAGAAATTAGTAATTTCAAATAACAGTTGTGCACTGGAAAAAGAATAACAACGGTTGTATTCTGCTAGAAGTTCTGCTAGAAGTAGACAAAATCAGAATTTTCTGGTCGAACCTGTTATGATTCCAGTTGAAATAACCAGAATTTTGATTGGTATGATCAATTATAATTCGTCTATTTCCAACCGGAAATTTTTCTCAGTGATGATAGCACTGAGGACTACTGATAATTATACTGATATATTATAGGAAAGAATGATTTTTTGTAGAAGCATCCAAAAATTTAGTTAAACGCAGATTTGGAAATAATTTTCAGAACATTTCTCGATAACACAATACTGCAAAACGTTTTAATAAACAACTAGTTTTCTATACGATTATTATTTTGTTGTCCGACAAAATTATTTTCAAATCTGTATCTAGCTAAATTTTCAGATATTTAGCCAAAGTAATTCCCGCTTCTAAAATTATAATATTATACGTATAATAAATTACATTATTCCAATTATTTTTATATTCTTCCACCTTCCTTTTTGTTATTTGTACAAAATTATTAGCTGTTTCTTTTGTCGATTGCGTCACTGAGCCTCAAATAACCGCGTTTGGAAGCTTCACAATCTGGTTCTGCGCTACTGAATTTTATAATCAAACTTTCAGAATTAACATCTCCTTAAACTAATAATCTCTTCGGGGAATCCGAAATTGAACTGATTACAAACATTTACGTACATCCCGTAGATACGAGGCGGAAAGATCGAAGATACACCCCTGCGCGCAGGCGGCCGGCCTGATCAGCTGATGCCCTAGCAACAGTGGTACTAACCGTGCTAAATACATCAAGCCGTATCTGGTTATAGGCACAAAGCGAACTTGTAACAACGACAATGACAAGAGAGAAAGAGAGGGAAGTTGTCGCGAATGATAACTATAATTTCGTCATACGATTAAACACATAATCGTTCATGACGCGTATCGTCATATATTATCGATTTAAGGGTCCAAGAGCGAGAAGCGAGGACAGAACTTTTTCGCTGATGAATCGCTCGCTACAATTTCCCAATTTCGTGTTTTTAATTGCATTAGTAAATAGAAAGAATCTCGACGATTCCGTTGTTTAACAAAATCGACAAAGACCAAAAATAAGCCAACACGCACATGCTAAAATTTAATGTTAACTAAATATATTAATAACAATAATTTTTTTAATTACAAAATCAATAAAGAAATAATATGCAAATAAAGAATATTAAAAAATTCCAATAATACTATAATAATATAATTATATTAACAATGCCATATTAATTCCGTTTTAATAATACAAGAACACAAGAATATTTCTCCTTTTTAAGAGGAATTAAATCACGTAAAGACAACGTTGCGTGAGATTGAGAAAAATTTAGACATTGTCATAGCTTCGTAATGAGTCAAGAGTCAAATGTTACTCAATCGTACAGCAATTTAAAGAATGCCTTGAACAAACACATCAGTGTAAATAATCACTTATATCTTATTTTTTAGAAGTAAATGTACAGATATATTTATGTAAACTGAAATACACTTGTATTAAAGTGTCCTAATTTATTGTATCAAAATACTTATAGTTGATTAAGTTCTTATAAATACGTATATCACCTCTCCTCGAAGAAGTCACAAGTGTATAATCTGACCTAAATAACTCATAAAAATAATTTTTGTGGATCGCTGATAAGCTATCTCACACCATTGAATTCCAATATACTTGATATACTTTCATCACATTTTTTTATACATCGTAAACATATTATGATGATTTACATTATTCATTAACGAGAACTCCAGATGTGATACATCTTTCTGCCAAAAAAAAAAAAAAAACTTAATAAACGACTCTGTACTAACAGAACGGAACAAAAATCAGATCTATCTTTTAACCAAGGAACAAAAGAGTCAAGAGATAAATAACGCGTCCGAAGTCATACTCTATAAGTAGATCCTGACATTCAATTAAGTAAAGGAAAACGTATCATGTGGCATAACAGTTTCTTGCGTTGTAAATGTTGAGGTCAATGACACTGCCCCCTTGTCTCAGTGCGAGTTGGGGGGACCGCGGACGAAATGGCACCATCCAAGACCTCCGATTCCTTCTTCCTTTGTCTCCCAAGGATACTACAAAATGAAAGCAGCGAGGGACCGACCCTTCATTTCCGCGAGAGCCCTTTAACGAGTCTTTGTTACGCACACGAAATGTCGTGGCGTGAAAGACAGAGAGTTGTATATATATATGAATATTGAATATGAGAGAGAGAGAAAGAAAGAGGGGAGAAAACAGATAAAGAGAGAAAGAAAGGCAACGGGGGGGAGAGACGGAGACAGAAAAAGAAGAAAAGAGGAAAAACGTAAAATACGTCCATAATCCCTGCGATAAACTACTGCGCAGAGATTATTCGCGTTGCGCGTATTTGTTACATGTAAAACATCACGGAGCGATATTAAATCACGTCTGATTGCAGCAATCAGCGATTTTATTCCCGAATAATTCCGATAAATAGCTGCTAACATTACGCATAGTTTTCATCAGTTTGTCCCGGTCGGCTTTCGTCGCGAAATCGAACGCTATAGGATACAGAACGCGTCATGCAGATTTGTTAAGGAACTACGAGAGACGACGGCTAGGAAAAGGCGATGTGTCCAGCGTGTTAATCATCGACGATGACGAATTTCCGGAATCGACACGTTGAAAAGATTGCGCTATTTGGATATTTTCCTAATCGAATTTCGTTAGACGTCAGTTGACGAGTTGAACAGGAAGTTCGATGATTACGTTCGCATGCATATTGGCATGTGAAATGCAACCGAGCCGACTTTTCTTGCAGACGAAATGGCATGATGAAATGCGGTGACGATAACAGTTCCTTCAACCTGTCTGCCCGCAAAACAGGTCCTGGGCTCTAAAAAAACGTGTTTCATGTGGACTGACAGACTAAATTATTAGAAAGATAGATAAATTAGTCCACCGAAAGAAATCAACATGAGAGCGAATTCAATCCTTTACAGTCGGAATGACGCAGTCGAACTAAAGCTGCCAGAGCTTCCATCTCGAAATAATACAAGAAGGTATGATATGTGTATCGACTAAAGATATATATCAATTTAATATAAATTTTGATTAAAAATTATAGAATTAAATTAAACTAAATTAAGCTATATATAAAAGAAATATAGACTTAATTATAAACTAATAAAATATCTCTAACAAATTGATATTTTTTCACTGATTTTTAGGGTATGTTAAGTTAGCACCCTAACTATAGTACTCAGGAGTTCTGATTAGAATTCCCACTTCCTTTTGACGAGACGAAGAGTTCCCTATAGTTAATAACAAGAGTTCCGCTCAATAAACATTTTTTTTACATTTTTTAAAAATGGGGTGCTAACTTTTTATCGAATTTCGAGGTGGAATAGTTCTGAGCGGCTTAATAGCTTCAATTTGCGATTGCCTAGAGTTCCTGATATGTAAAAAAAATTTTCGAATAATAAAAAAAAATTGAAAATTTTCCGAATGTAACAATTGCTCGATGCAAAACTCTAATCTAAAATATCCGTCCGAATTCGTGGTAAGAATTCCGCTCGAAGGTATCAACATTCAAGCGAATGATATTTTAGTCGAGTTCCGCGTGAACTCTCGGTCAATCGCGATTTCTGCGAAGACGAGGAGCGTCTTCGTATTTCTTGCTCTCTCTCCTCTCTCTCTCTCTCTCTCTCTCTCTTTCTCTTCGTCATGACGTTTCTATTATTTTGTATTCCATGAAGAAGGCGGATGCACTTTTGGTCGAGGTTAGTATTGAAAGCGCGAAGAGGTCAACGCTCGGGAAAGCGCCTCTTATTACGGCACTGTCATACGATATTATCAGGACCGTCTCTTGAATATCCCTGATGTTCTCCTCGTAGTCCTGGCGCGATTACTTCACATACATGCCCATCCTCATTCCGTCTCTCTTTCTCACTCGTTACCCTTCGGTCTATCGAGCTCGCTTGACTGATCAACCTTCTGCGCTTCCTCGACGCTTGATCATGTTGCCTCTGCGCACTTACGACAATGAGTTTCTTTCTTCTCAGTCGCCCTCCAATTGTTTTCATCGCTCGATTTCATCCCTTACGAATGACAGAGGCTCGATCCAAAAGATCTGCGCCTTTGTTTCCGTGTCTCTCTCTTGATTTCCGTTGTTATTCTGGCTTATGGTATTTATTAGAACAATGCTA